GATTTTGACAAATGTATAATGACATATCCACCAAGAATGTTTTCACTGGCCCCTAGTCCCCTGTGTTTACTTGTCTCTTTTGATTGTTTCTCAACCTCAAGTCTTTTTACCCCTGCAGACTCCGTGTGCTGTGGAGAGGGCCATGGCCAGAAGAGGCCAGCATGGGCCAGGGCAGGGTCCCCTCTTGCCCATCCTAAGCCTGGTTCTGCTACTATAATTACTAAGAAAAATAAATCAAGACTTAGTGACCCTCATCATGCATGGAAGGTCGGGAGTAGATTCAGCCCGAGTTTTCATCTGAGGGATACTGGGCAGCAGGCAGTTGGCCAGCCATAGTCTCTGGAAAGCTTTGAATGATGTTTCCAGTGTGATCAGGCCTCCCAATTCCCTGTCTGATGACAGGTGGTGCCCAGTATGACCACATGGAGCTACCCCTCTACCCTCCCTTTCTCATCTGCCCAGGACTCTGCCACCCCTGCCAGCTTCCATGACCCAGTTACAGTTTCCTGCTCACAATTGTTTGTTCTCTTTCTCTGAGCATGGCTGACTATAACCTGTTGTGAAATCAAACCATTGCCCTGGCTCACCCCCAAGGGCCAAGTCGCCCTAACCTAAAGAAATTTCTGCAGACACATAGGCCTGACTGTCTCAGGCATGGCTTTGTTATTGTTCTCAGAATGTTGTCTTCTTGCTGTGGAAGAATCCCCACCAGCCTGACCTGCCTCACTGCAACCCTGGCTTTAATCTCAGCTATGAAAAAGGTGGCAACGTGGACACAAAAATGAAGGCCAGCATGGCTGAGCCCCCCGCCTGTCCTAGGACGACACTGCTGCCACAGCACCACCCAGCACATACTAGGAGCTCAACAAACATGTCATGAAAAGTTGGGTAGTAGTAGAAGAATGATTTTCCTTTTAAAAGAGCCCCAGAAAGGCGGCTCTGTTTCTTCCCAGCATAATTCACCCATGCGAAACCAGCTGGAAATGAGTAATAAGAGGCAGCCTAGAAAGAGAAACCTTACGAGTAGCCCAGGGCTGTGAGTGGCGGCCCAGCACGAGTGGCCCTTGGCCTTGGAGCTCACCAGTAGTGATTGGGTGGGAGTTTGGAGGGCTAGGTAGGCTTACGTTGCTGTGGATGAAATTTAGGTTTCTTTTGGTTCCAGCTTGTATACCCACTTTCTCTTACTGGTCTGCAGCCTCCTGGTGTCACCACCTCAGCCTCCGGGAGCCCCACTATGGCTGCCTGAATTATCTCAAGTTCCCTTTCCTCAGCCAGCTCTGCCTTCATGTTTCCAGATTTTTCAAAACACTTTCAAAGTTGGTTTCATGACATGCATTTTAACTGACATGTCCTTGGGATTTTTTTAACATATTAAGACAACTACATAGCTCGCCCAGTGAAATAACAGAGTTTTTAAGAATAAAAAACCAAGTCCTCAAAGACCATATCAGTTTTGCTGACCTGCCAAACCAAGCTGTTAGGACCGACAGATCCAGCTTTTCAACACAAGAGGGCGCCAGTGGTTAAAGTATGCACACAAGCTGCCCTTGCTAAGAAATTCTTAATTTGGTTACTTCATTGTTGTCCTTTCTGTCACCTCATGCAGAGACAGAGAGGACTTCCATGGGGTCGGTGGGCAGGTGCAGGTAAGGTGAGCTGCGTGCAAAGGGTAGCCGTTGCTAAGGGGAGTAGGACAGAGAATTCAGGGCAGAGGGCTGTTGCCTGCAGTGCATGATGGNCAAGCAAGGCTTCATGGAGGGGGAAGACCAGGTATTAAAGCATAACAGGAAGCATTGTGTGTGATGAAACAGAAGGTTGTAGAGTTAATGTATGCCTCAGGGCAGAGAGGTCTGCATGTTGGCTCTTAGTCTAAAAAATGCTGCTGCCTTATGTAACTTCTTTGCTTCTAAGGAAACCTTGCATTTGAATAGGACAGTTTTGCTTTTAAAACTGCCTTCATTTATATCAGCCATCCCACCTGTTCCTAATGATGCCTCCGTGAAGCAAGGGTAGTCAGTTTACGTTAAGGATGAGAAATCTGAGGTCCAGAGGTCTTATAGCCTGTCTGTAGCTGCACCAGCACTGGAATTGAAGTTTCCCTTGTTCACAG